TGTTTCCATATAAATTTCACAGTAGATTTTTCAATCTCTTTAATGACTGTCATTGGAATTTTGATGGGAATTGCATTAAACATGTAGATTACTTTGGGGAGTATCGACATTTTTACTATGTTGATTCTACCAATCCATGAGCATGGGAGATCTCTCCACTTTCTATAGTCTTCCTCAATCTCTTTCTTCAGAAGTGTATAGTTTTCCTTGTAGAGGTCTTTCACATCTTTTGTTAGGTTTATACCTAGGTATTTGATTTTGTTTGAGGCTATTGTAAATGGAATTGTTTTCATACATTCTTTTTCCGTTTGCTCATTGTTAGTGTATAGAAATGCTAATGATTTTTCTATGTTGATTTTATATCCTGCTACCTTGCTATAGCTATTGATGATGTCTAGAAGCTTCTGAGTAGAGTTTTTTGGGTCCTTAAGGTATAGGATCATGTCGTCTGCAAATAGGGATATTCTGACAGTTTCTTTACCTATTTGTATTCCTTTTATTCGCTAATTTGTCTTTACACGATCATAAGACAACTTCTAATTTTTTTTTTTTTGGTGGTACTGAGGTTTGAACTCAGAGCCTAATTCTTGCTATGCAGGAGCTCTCCCACTTGAGCCACTACCAGCTTTTTTTGGTGTTGGATGTTTTTGAGATAGGGTCTCACTTTTTTTTTTTTGCCTGGGATGGCCTCGAATTGCAATCCTCCTGATCTCTGCCTCTTGAGTAGCTAGGATTATAGGCATGAGCCACTGGGCCAGGCATGATTACAATTTTGAGTGTGGACATGACATTTGGTTAAAGAGGAGTAGCTCCTCTTAGTGTCTATTTTTATTGGAGAGAAAACTATTTCTGAGGAAACCTTTAAAAGATTTCACCTTAGTCTCATTGGTCAAGACTGGGCCATACTCTATGCCACAGATGCAAAGGAAACTGGGCAGAGAGGTAAGTTTCTGACTTTTGGGGGGCCTCTATAGTAGAAAGTGGACTCCTAAAGAGGAAGGAATGGGGAAACAGAGAATGCTTCCCAGACTCCCTTGCAGGTAGGTGGAGCTATAGTACTGATGTGACCAATAGATTCAAAGTAGCAACATGACATTTCTGGGTAAGGCCATTAAACCAATGCACTGTGTTGTGAGAGAGCTATGTCAGAAACAGACGTGTTTGTGTCTTTCCACAAAGTTAGAGTTTATTGACTAAAAATAAATTCACGAGCTATTTCCATTTTGTTGGCTTTCATTTACCAAGTCTTCCTGATTTCACTTGGTATTTGTGGCACTGGTGATCACAGGTACTTTTATTCCATTCCAATTTTAATTGCTAATAAAACTTTCAGATCACATATTTCACACAATAATATATGTAGGTTACAAAATGACTAAGAAATGGTTAAAGAACTAGAGGGTTCAGTAGGGCTGTGCTAAAGACAAAGGCAGAGAGATGATGTAGATGCAAGAAAAAGGCTCCGTAAGGGACCAGGGAAAAAGTTTTATGAACAGCAGATGCAGAGCTGTTCAGGACACAGAGTTGTCAAATGCAGGTCTGGGTGGTAGGAAGTTTCAAGTGTCAGAGTGAAGTGGCTGTGTGTCACAGACAGGAGAAACTGAGTTGGAGCCTAGGGACAGAGGCAGAGGACTTTTGCTATGGTCATTTTCCTGCACAAGATTCATAGTGACCAGGTGATGGGTTAGTGTACCTGCTACCTGTCAGTCTGGGGGTGTTCCTCCTTTTATAGGTGGAGGTGCTACAACTGGTGTGATTGATAAGCTCGTGTGTCTAGTGTTTCTCATGTTATTTGGTATGTTCATAGGTGTAAGCTCTCATTGGCACAAAAAAATTATTAGTTTGTGCCTCACAGTGTGCTGGCAGATGGTAGTTGTTTGCTTGTATAAACAAGATGTAGAGTCATTCTACCTTGGCACTTGTACTAAAAACAGGGTCAGTTTGACTCAGGTCAAAACTGTTGCTTTATAACATAGAGTAACACAGGGCTGGGCTCAGCCTGAAAGCTGCAGTTCTATACGACATAGAGTAACTCAGAGCTAGTTTACTGCTGTCCTCAGCCAATCCTGCCTGCCTAATTCTAGATTCTAGGTTCACAAGAAAAATTCATATTTTGACCAATGCACTCTAGTGAGATATCTATTGTACTTACCTAAATAGGCTCTGCTATCTACAATGCTGGCTTTTCTCCATCTGTTCCCAGCTCTACCTCAAACCCTTCTCAACCTTTCTGGCTGCTCTGTCCAGGGACTGACCTATAGACTGTAACCTACAGGTTCTTTCATTCTCTGACATCCTGTGGGCTTCAGCCAATGATAGGAAGAGAAGTTGGAAAGGCAAGATCAGGGTATTTCAGCCATTACTCCTTCTTCGCTTAGTACTGAGGTCCTGACAAGACTGCATTCCTTAGGATCACAGCTGCTGTCTGGTGGCCCCTTCTCCATGGTTTTAGCCCTCAGGGGGCTCCACTAACACTGTTTCTTCCCTCTGAGCCTTCTGGCCTGGGAATAGTAATGTCTTCCCATGTTGCCTGTCCTGGACACCTATCTTCTATGGCTACGCTAATAAATTACCATAAACTTGGTCTCTAATTTGTGTCTTTTTTTCTCACTTCCTGGTGCTTTTGGTGTCATACCTAAGAAACCATCACCCCATCCAAAGTCACAGATATTCACACCTATGTTTTCTTCTAGGAATTTTATAGGACAGTTCTTCCTTAGCTTCAGTTTCTCTTTTTGTTGTTTCAGTTCTCAGTGCTCGACTGTGATGTGAAAATATTAAGTAGAAAATCCTAGGAATAAGCAATTGGTAAGTTTTTAATTACACAACATTCTGAGTAGCTGCCCGGTTCATGAATCATCCCTTTGCCCAGCATATCTGTGCTGTATGCACTCCCTACCCACTACTCACTGAGCAGCCATCTCAGTTAGCAGTCCCACGTTATGGTATCATAGTGCAGTGCTCAAGTAACTCTAATTTTATTTCATAAGAATAGTGATGCTGGAAATTTGGACATGACAAAGAGAAGCCATAAAGTGCTCCATTTAAGTAAAAAGGGAACAGAATAGTCAGATGTTGAGGTTGCGAAGATGTACACAAAAAACTTCTCTGCATGGAATTGTGAACAAGAAGAAAGAAATTCGTGCTAGTTTACTATCATATCTCAAACTGTGAAAGTTATGGCCATGGTGCATGAAAAGTGTTTTCATATGATGGAAAAAGCATAAATTTGAGTATTTATGCATGACTGTATGTATAGAAAAGCAGTGTATGTAGCATTAAGTTTCAGGCATCCATTGGAATGTGTTCCTCCTCTGATGAAGGGGTACTGCTCTATTGGCTCTTATATTAAGGTCCAATTCATTTTGAGCTAATTTTTTATATGGTGTGAGGGAGAGGTCCATCTTCATTCTTGTGCATGTGGTTATCTAATTCTCCCACTGCTGATTATTGAAAAGACTATTCTTTCCTTATTGAATTGCCTTGGCACCTTGTGGGAAATCAATTGGTCATGGATATAAGGGTTTATTTATGGACTTTCAATTTTATTCCCTTGATCTCCACGCCTATCCTTATGCCAGTACCACACAGATTGATTACTACATCTTTGTAGCAGGCTTTGAAATGGTGAAGTGTGAGTCCTTGCAACTTTGTCCTTTTCCAAGATTGTTTTGGCTCTTCCAGGTTCCTTGTACTTCCATATAAATTTTAAGATCAGTTTTATGTCTGTTTCCTGGTAACAACCTGGAAGGCAAAGGCAAGTATTTCAGCCATCTTTGTGACCTGTTGGACTTTGCAATTGAATGAGTTGGTGGTTTCTTTTTTTGTTCTGGAGTGAATTTCTACCTGGAAGAATGGTTAAGTGTTTGTTTCAGTTACACTGCATTGAGTTGCAAGCAACAACTACAATTAGCAGTGTCTTAAACCACAGGATGGTTATGACCAAAGGAATGTGAAGGCGGGTGGTACATTCGACATTTTAGCCAAGACCATCCCTTCTCTTCACTGTCTCTACACTGTTCTGATTTCCTCATGCTTGTCATTTCCTGCATAGTAGATGCCTGCCCACATGGCAGGCAGCATGTTCTTATGTCAGCATTTCCAAAAAGGACGCTTTGTCATCCAGATTGGAAGCTTTCTTATACCACACTGACCAGGTCAGGATTACATGTTTATCCATAGACCAGGCACTGGGGAAGGGGAATAAGATGACCAGACACATTTGGAGCAACCATGCTGTACCCAATGAAGAGAGCCAACGGTGTACCTCTCCTGAAGGCGGTCGGGGGGAGAATCACCTGCTGGGCAGCAGTGAGTAGTGCTACCTCAAATCTGGCACATGTGATGTACAAAATGGTGTTTTGTAGTCTTGTACACCAACCCAGCTTACAATGTTGTTCCTTCGAGAAAGTAAAACGTGTTCTCAAAACCAACAGAACTTTTAAGAAACTACACTTGCTTGCAATCCAATCCAAAATACATGGAACGAAATCCATCCATTTGTCTTTGAAACTATACTGCATGCAATTCTTTTTCTTGGGCACTGTAAGGGTACTTTTACAATCGTGTAGTCTGAGAATCACTTTGTGCATATACTTAGAAGAGCGGTTAAGAGAGTTTACTACAAGAAAGTCAAAGAACCGTATTAATTTTGTTTGTTCTTGTGTCCTCACTGAGTCCTGGGGAGCCAAAGGGACTCTGAGGAAGATGGAGGTCTAGTGGGATGAGCACGGGGAACCAGAAAGCCAAGATACCAAAGGCCCTGCAGTGTGGGGCAAAGGAGATCTGGTTATACCAGTGTCCAGGGAACAAAAGGACGCAGGACAAGACCCTCGGGTGCACCGGGTGGCTCCCAGACCCCGGCCTTCCCGGCTGGTGCAGTGACCCACCAGGCCGTCTCGAGCCTCCAGCCACAGGCGTCGCTGTGCGCTCGCGCGCAGGCCGGGGAGCCGCGTTCCGCCCTGAGCCCGCGCTCGCGCAGAGCAGGGGTTTCAGTTTCTGGCGCGAACTTCCGCCGTTCCGAAGTTGCAAGGCGAATTGGCGCGATGTCTGGGGACAGCAGCGGCCGCCGGCCCGAGGGCCGGGGCCGGGGCCGTGACCCGCACCGGGATCGCACCCGTTCTCGTTCCCGCTCGCGGTCCCCGCTGTGCCGCCGCGGCGCCGCGCCGGAGCGCAGGGAGGCCCCGGAGCGCCCGAGCTTGGAGGACACAGAGCCGTCAGATTCCGGGGACGAGATGTTGGACCCGGCCACCTTGGAGGCGGAGACCGACCATGGCCTGTGTCGCCAGATCCGCCATCAGTACCGGGCGCTTATCAACTCCGTCCAACGTAAGGCGGCGCCTGGGGCGGCGCGGGCCGGAGCCGCGTCCCCGCCATGCGCCCGGCGGGTGGGGAAGGGCGTGGGCAGGTGCGGGCGCAGGCCCGGGCGGCGCGCCTTCGTTTGTTTACATTCGCTCGCGCCACCCGTTTGGTCACTGGTGCCGCGCGACCTTGGCGGGGTGGGGCACGCAGGTCCCCGATCGCAGGCTGGAGCAGCTGGAGGCCAGATCTGGCCGGCGACTCTGCCGAGCGCAGGACGCGGGCGCCGGCTGCCTTCTCTGGCACTCAGCCGCTCTCCGCGTGGGCTCGCCGGCCCCGCAAGACTCGTCCCGTGGAGCTGCCAGAAATGCGCGTTCCCCGCCGCACCCGGCCCAGGCGGGCTCTGCAGGGGACCCTGCTGCCTGCAGAGCTTGACGATCGCCCTATAACCGAGCCCTCCGGAGGCTGCAGACGAGGGGAGCCCTGTGGGTTAGGGTTGGAGCGAGCCACGGGTTCCTGTTCGAGTTCAAGCTGCTTTCGTGCCATTTTGGCTAAAAAAAATGACGTTTTAAGTAATTGCTTAAAGCAGGGAGCAGGGTGGGGCTTGGCTTTACTACTGCAGGTGATAATTTTGTCCACTCTTAGTGAAAGATGAGCGCACTTCCCAAAATTCGTTTTTTTTAAATAGAAAACCGGGAGGATATATTGAATGCCAGCGACAAATTAACAGAGGTCCTTGAAGAGGCTAACACTCTGTTTAATGGAGGTAATTTATTGTTTTATATATGCTGTCATACCTTTTCTGATCATTTAAATTAGTTTTAAATGAGGCAAATTACTGTCATTACACAATTCGCTCCATTGTTGTAGTGCTTTGCCAGATTCGGAACATTTTCCATTGCAGCAGAAATACTACTTTTATTGTGCACTTACCATTTGCTAAGCACATACCAAGCGCTCTACATGAAATTCTGGGGGCAGGTCTCCTGTAACAAGCTCTCTGCCCATGTTTGAGAGGTTGACATATATGTATCCCATTTGTTGCATGGATGAATTAAAGAAGAACTGAGCTGGCTTCTGACATCCGTCCTGTTTCTTTTCCTGTCTTCTGCTCCAATCTCTCCCTCAACTGTTGCTTCACATGTAACCCAGTGGAGGTGGCCATGTCTACACAAGTACTTGTTGGCCTCCGGATGGGGGAGAGAGAAAGGAGTGCGCTCAGAGCACTGAATTCTGGACCATAGATACTTTTACAAGTAATCTTAGTTTGAATTAAAAGCAGCAGTGACTGTGGCAGCAATGATCTAGTGTTCAATGATAGAGAACAGGTGGGTAAGTCCATGACATGGGTTCTGGGTCACAGAGCCCTGGGACAACTACCCAGAGTACTGTCCCCTGCAGGCCTCTCTCACGCTTCTGTAGAAACAGAAAGGGAGAATGCAGACAATAAAAAAGTGTCAACAGAACTGGCTGTGTCCTGACATTACAATTCTTCATATTATTTGAGGCCTGGAATGTTTATTTCTAGTCATTTCCTAGGATGGCCACTTGTTTCAGTGTTGTCAGCTTTTAACACCTCCTGTTTACATGCTGCCCAGTTTCTGTCTTTCTAGCGGTGACCGTGACCTGACCCATTTACTGTCTTGATTTTTACTTATTAGCTCTGTATCCACATGTCATAATCCCTCCTCCCGCTATTTTCATTGTTTAAAGCAGTTTTAAGATGAAATTATCCACCAAACTGAGCCCTAGAACTTGCTCTGCAAATGGAATTCTAGCTGCTTGATGTTCATGGATGTAACGTCTGTTTTCATTCTTCAGAAACTGTAGTCATCTGTGACATATTTGCACTTTCCTTGCAGTGTGCGGTGGGGCTGATGGGTAAGGGGGAGGTAGAACAGAGCCCAGGAACATGTCTACCCAGGAACCAGCATCTATGTCCACTTTGTTCCCTTACTTATCATCACTTCCACAGTGATTCTCCTAAATTATGAGAACCTTTCCCTCTGGGAACAAAAATGATGCATAAAAACAAAACCAATTTAGTCTTTGCTGTTTTTGTGAGGATTGTTCAGGAAATCAGTGCTTGAAATGGCCTTGAGGGGCAAACTGGGCACAGTCATTTCTGTGTTTGAACTTGGCTGGGTTGGTCTCTTCTTGGTATTTCTAAAAGTTCTCTTTTACAAGTGTTCCCAGACTACTTTTTGACTCCCTATTACTACCTGGCTCCTTTGCAGATGTTCCCAAACTACTTCTTGACTCCCTATTATCTACTGGGGTTTATTAAGCCCAGCCTCCTCAGGCCTGAGGGGTTCCTCCAGTTAGTTGAACCCTTCTTCACTTCCCTAAACTGCATACCATCCCTTTCCCACATGTAGTGGACTTTTGACTGACTTATATCAACAGAGGTGAAAAAGGAATTAGAATGGGTTCATTGAGTCAAAGGAAAAAACAAGTGTTACACATGGTAGAGGTTTTGGTACACTGGGGTGATGAAGAGATTGTGGTTCAGTAACCAGGAACATGAAAACTGGCTTTTAAGAAGACTGGTCAGCTCTGATTGAAATTTTGAGGACGTGAAGTGGAACCAGTTTTAGAGGATGGATTTGCTTCCAGCCTATTGAAATATATATTTTTTCCTAGTAGAAGATCCTAGTAAGTAGCTGGAAATGTAGAGAAAATGTATCTATGGCTAATGTGTATTTTGTGACATGTATATTTTCCTTCTTTGCTTGATAGTGTCCCGGGCACGAGAAGCAGTCCTGGACGCCCACTTTCTCGTTCTAGCTTCAGATTTGGGCAAAGAGAAAGCAAAGCAGCTGCGCTCTGATCTGAGCTCGTTTGATATGTTAAGATATGTTGAAGCTCTAGTAAGTTCAAAGCTATAGAATTTTCATTAAAAATTTTTTTCTATTATATTGTATAATTATCTACTTGCCTGTATCAGTTTGTAGATGATTTTACTTTATTTTCCCTTTTTTTTTCTTTTTCTGGACTCATATTCCTCTAAAGAGATTAACAGATAAAAGCTGACTATGTGGTGGGATTTGGGGTGGGAGCTTAGAACAGTTTGAAAACCTCTTAGCTTTCTGTTTTAAGACCCTGGGTGCTATGGTTGTTTATAAATGGCCATTTTCTCAGTCACATCAGAAGTGTTCTGAATCATTCTTGGTGACCTGGCTGGGTGGGAGCCCACACTGGTGGGGGGAGGCAGAGCTCAGTTGATGAGTTAGGCCTAGTAAGGAGGCATATTTTGGTCTGTCTTTGAGAGTACTTTACAACTATACAGATATGATTGTGGCTTTGCTTTTTTTTTTAATTTTTATTTTATTCACATTCCTTTGCCTTTTAACAAATTTGAATAGTTGGTACTAGAAATTTAAAAATTTTTCCTGATGGATATGTCAAAAAAAAAAAAAAAGTGCAGACTGACCTTGTATGGTACTCCATTGTCTTGTTTCATTCTACTGAGCCAACTGTCCTAGCACAGAGAGATGCCCCTTGGTATGAACACTGAATTTCAGACTGGATGTTTATGTTTTATGGTTATTAAAATGATTTAGGTTGGGTGTGGTAGAGTAAGTCTGTAATACTAAGTACTCAGGAGGCTGAGGCGGGAGGATTGCAAGTTCAAGGGTAGCCTGGGCTATATATTGAGACCTTGTGACAAAATAAAAATTACAAAAGGAGTAAGAGTAGAACTCAGTGGTAGAATGCTTGCTAAGCCTGTGTGAGGCCCTGGATTCCATCCCCAGCACTGCAAATAAAGAAGAAAAAAAAAGAAAGATTTTGTGCTGTGAGATCTGACCAGATAAAATGATTATTTTGTAAAGTCATTTAAACATTATTTTAATGTATAATATATTTATGAAAATACACACTTATGTACACATGTAGTTTTGTTTTGTTTTGTTTTGGTGGTACTGGGGTTTGAACTCAAGGCACTTGCTAGGCAGGTTCTCTCACACTTGAGCCACTCCACCAGCCCTAAGTTTTTTAATTACTTTTTAAAATTAGGTAAAGCTCAGTACTTTAAATAACATACCAAAATAAATTCCAGAAGTCTTAAAGCAGTAAATATAAAGCCTTAAGTGAATAGCTGTCTAGACTGTGCTTGGGGAAGGACTTCCCAAGTATAACATAAAACATAGACACTCTAAGGAAAAGGTTGGTAGATCTGACCAGACAGAAGTTGAAATGTCTCCTGTGCAGGTGCAATGGCAGGAGTGGGCGGCAAGAGAGTGGAGTGAGTAGTCTTGTACTGCTCTGCTCAGGCCCCTGAAGCCTTTCAAAGTTTGCTTGTTTTTAATAAGGTTAAGCTCCTGAGGATTTGGTGGTTATTATTTTATATATATGTAACCCTTTTAATTAATAACTTCTAGGCATTTTGCAGGATATGTAATAAAAGTGTTCTGTCATAAAACTAAATTCAATATGATGTATTTTCTGTAAGTTAGTTTGAGATGAGAGAATTACCAGTGTTCTCAGGAAGATGAACAGTTCTCTCAGTGGTGCCTGGCCGCTCTTTTCTAGATACACTGAGATATGAGCTGAGTACAGACCTCCAGGAAGTTTGCCAAAGATTAAAATTTGAAAACCAGCTAACTTCCCTGTTTTGCCTTGAAGCTTTTGATTGGGGATCAAGTTTTTATGCTGGTACAGTTTTACTGTTAACTGAAGTGCTTATGATGTAACCATCCCCGTGGGCTTAGCTGTTCTGGTATTCTTGAACTTCTAAGCCTGCCAGGGGGCTAGAGCAGGGTTGCTCAGCCTTGGCTCTGTTGATGTTTTGGGCTGGGTAAGTCTTTGTCTTGGGGGTGTCTACCCAGTAGAAGCAGTGGCGTGTCAGTGTGACAACCACAAATGTTTTGGTATTGCCAGAAGGTGCCTGCTGGCAAAATGACTGTAGTTGAAAACCACTGGTCTAAATCATCTGACTTTCTCATCCAAAGTTCTCAGTACACTGAGAAGTATTTTCTATCAAAAACAAGGTACCTTTGAATAGGAATTTATATGTAAAATTACTTTTACAGTAAGAAATTTAGCCAGCATATTAAGTCTCTGAAGCAGGCTTTGCCTCTGACCTCTTAAACGCTAAGTGATACACAGATTATTGGATGTGGAGAATGACTGCTTGTGGCCTAACTGGGGTTTTTTGTTTTCCTTCATTTTTGTAGCTGACACATATGGGTGTAAATCCGCTAGAAGCTGAAGAACTCATCCGTGATGAAGATAGCTCTGATTTTGAATTCATAGTCTATGACTCCTGGAAAATATCAGGCAAAACAGCAGAAAACACCTTTAATAAAACCCATACATTCCACTTTCTGTAAGATTACTTTAAAACTCCAACAGACCAGCCATTTGTAAACGTTAAACCGTTTTATTGTAGGGATAAAGATTTATATATGTATCATAGGGGTCACAGTCATGAAGCCATTGTGTAGACATCTAAACTTTGATTTCGAAGTCTGTAGACTCTTTATGTAGATGGAACCTTAAAGGATCTCTCATCCTATGCCAGCAGGAAAGGCCATGGATCAGAGCCTCCTTAATAAGGTTCTCTGCTGGAGTATCTGCATTGTAGCCCATCAGATTTTGGGTCTATAGCATATTTTGGTTTTGTTTTATCATCTTTGAAATCCTTATCATGTAGGAGAATGATACCTCTTACCTGAGGGTCTCCTAAGGTTGTAGCAATATACGTGAAGGGCCATTTATTATAGTATCCTGTTGGATGATCACGTCTTATATATTTGAATACTACTTGAGTCACTATCACATAAGCTGCCTGGTTCAATGTTTGGATGCAGTTCTACTTTTAAGAAGTTTTTATTATCAAATGAAATTGGCTTCTGTCTTAACTTTGTACTTTGGTCCTATGGAGAAGCCAAGAGCAGCCCTTGCAGGTTCTTTTGTAAGATAGCCTTTGTCCTATTTTTTTAGCACAGACCTTCTCTAGGGTTACTGTCCAAGTTGTTTCAGACCTTTGTTCCTTAAGTGGTATAGCTCCTGGACATTTGTCTTTTTTGATTCTCCCTTTAGACTTCCTGAGATTGATAGTTTCCCATTTAGAAGGCTTTGGAGATCCAGATTGTTGTGGGTCTGTGATACAGGCCCAGGCATCTATAGCAAGCCTTCAGGCAGCTTTGGTACCCATTGAGCCATTGTGTAAATTACACAGTAAAGACTGTACTTCTTTACTGCAGGGTAAAGTCAATCTTTGATTTTACTATTCATTGCTAAGCTCTGTCATAAGTCCTAGCATCTAAAGATTAAGCCTTGAATCGTATCTCATTGTGTAGCCTAATTTCTAGCCATCATGAAGTGCTTATAACTCTGCGCCCCTGCACTTGCCATTCCCTCCACCTCCCATGTCTTTGCCCCCTTTTTCATCTGGTAAGGTTTACTTGCCCACAGATCCCAACCTGGAACCTTCCAGTAACTTCTCCAGAGGAATTATCAGTGTAGCACTGGATTTCCCAACTTGAGCTCTCCCATATTTGGGTAGATATCCTTGCTTCAGTGCTCTCATAGCACTTGAGTAGCCCTCTCCAGCAGCATTATGGGATCTTCCATATTATGCCAAGATGGATCTGTGTATTAATCTCTATCCATCTACACCACATACTTTGATCTCAAGTATAGGGAACTCACGGGTCTAGATTCTTGGGGCCTTTTCTTTATATGATACATACATTACTATAGCTGGAGACTATATATAGATTTTTTGGGGGGGAAGATGGTGAGAGAATCCTATGACTGCTTGGCTGTCATCCCGATAGGTGTGTCTGTAGTCCCAGGCTGTGAGCCTCTGCCCTGGCACAAGGCTTTTGACCCCATGAGAGCAGTTCTTTTCCCCTTCCTCAGATGCCCATCCTTCCCCTGATCTCAGAAGTTGGCTTTGTAAAACAGACAATAGGCTAGCTGCAAAGACTTCACAATTACATTCACTGGCCTATGGAACTTAGCACCATGAGGGAGTTCGAGGAGGTATCTGGCTGAGCAAAACTCAACAAGTTCTTTTAGAAGTGTAGATGGAGCAGAAAGGATGTCACATACCTTACTAGAGTCCTAGTCTGACACCAGCTCAAACATCACTGATGCCTGGTCTGAATTTGACTATACCATGCCTACTGCTTTTAGTTAGTGAAATTTGTTTAAAAAACAAACAAAAAAAGACATGAAAGCGTATTTTTCATTAGATTGGGTTCAATAGAAGGAGAGTTCCCTGTGCCAAAGCCACGAATCGATCGTCCAAGAAAAGAGCGTACGATAGAAGAGCAGCGGGCAATGCCTGCTCAGGTTTGTTTCTTCAAATGCTGCTTTTTAAACTGCCATTAATATAATGGAAATGCAATTGACCATCTATTGTAAACTTTAGCATCTGGAGTCAGGTTCTGTTATTTAAATAGTCATCTTAAGTCTTTCAACATTTTGTTGGATTGGCCTCTTGTTTTAACTCATTTCTATGGTTTTGATCTGATCTCCACTAGGAGTCTCAACCTCAGTGCTGTCATTAAGGCTGGCTAATTCTGTACTGGGGGACCTGCCCTGGGCTTTGTAGGATGGTTAGCAGTATCCGTGGCCTTTACAGACTCGACATCAATAGCAACCCTCACTCTAGTTGTGACAGTCAATCAAAAATATCTCTAGATGATGGGCCGGGGGAGGATATACAATCGCTTCCAGTTAAGAACCAGTGTCCTAAGCTGCCCTTTTTTTGTATTTTGCTACTGTATGGTCAACCTGAAAATGGTTGATTTGGTAGTGTTACTCTTCTGCTAAGAAATTCATATAAAAATGTTACTGAAACTAGAAAAAAAATTAAATTACAAATTCTAAGATTGCAATAAAATTGCTAGATATTTCAGACAAAAATCATTTTGAGAAGTTGGGGTGTTTAAGAGAGAAGAAAAGATTGTTAACTGACAAGTGAGGAGGTCAGTCATCTTGATTGTGGCTTTATCTTTTCCAGTTGAAAAGCATGGAAGAATCTCATCAAGAAGCAACAGAAAAAGAAGTTGAAAGAATCTTGGGATTACTGCAAACGTATTTTCGAGAAGATCGTAAGTATGCCACCAAATTAAAAACAGCATGTTGTATTTATCACCCGTGTTACTTTAATGAGGTTATTTTTATTTAAAAGACATTTTCAATTGTATGCAATATTTGAATGCTTTTGATTCTTGTGATGTGTATTTAATGAGGCTTCTCCCCTTTAGAAACCTCATGAGAGAGTGCTGGTGAAGAACTTTTTATCTTTAAAAGACAGAATTTTTTCTGTTATAAAACTTGCTCCAATAAGTGGAAAAGTTAAAAAAAAAAAAAATCAAGTACCTAACCTACTTTCTGTTGCTCCCCAAAGATAGTCATTTGTGAAACATGATCTGTGTGTTTTCACATTATTTTCTGTTTGTTTCATCATATAAAGATACATGTAACTGTTTGGTTTTGGGGTTGTTTTGTTTTTGCTTTTTTCAAAACTAATCATGATACATGCTTTCTTCTGCAATGTGACTTTTCCATGTGAACATTCTTCCATATCAATACACACAGGCAGGTCTTTCTTATTCCTGTCAGTGATTCCCTGGGGTGACTATATTATAAATACACTTAAAAATCTCTACTACTGGATAAATTCTTTATTGCATTTTACTCTTGTATAAGCTTCTGACATGAAAATCTTGAGTATGACTGTGTGTTTTTGCTAATATTTCTTTGATGGCTTTAGAGGGCTGATAGATAGGTAGGCACCTGTGTTTGACCTTTTGTTGTTTCTGGAGAATGCTGGAAAGAATAGGTCTTATTGATAAGCAAATGACCAGTTCCCATTCTGAAGAATTTTTTCTCTTTTTTCCTACAGCTGATACTCCAATGTCCTTTTTTGACTTTGTGATTGACCCACATTCTTTCCCCCGTACAGTGGAAAACATCTTTCATGTTTCCTTCATCATACGGGTAAGATTTGAGATTTCTTTAATTGCTTTTTTATTCTTTTTAAAGGATACATTATAAAGGCTGTGGAGGAGAGCTGGCAGAGGTATTTATACAATATCTAGTTTAGATCCAATGTAGCTAAACATTAACTGGTATATTAGGTAGAAGAACTAGCTAAACTTTTGTGTGCTTGCTTTTACACTGTCAGAAATTACAGGTTGAGCCTCTTTAATCTGAAAATCTAAATGCTCCAAAATCTGAAAGTTTTTAAGTGCTGACATGATGCAACAAGTGAAAAACTGCAGATTGGTCTCATGTGATAGGTCACAATTAAAACCAGCACACTAAAACAGTTACCTTTAGGCTATGTATATGAGGTGTTTATGAAACGTCAGTGGATATCATGTGTAGACTTGGGTCCCATCACCAAGATATCTCTCTGTATATGTACATATTCCACAATCTGAAAAAGTCTGAAACCTGAAATACTTCTGGTTCCAAGCATTTTCAATAAGGGATACTCAGCCTATATTTAGAGGAAGAATTAGTAAAGTTGAATATGAAATTATAATGGTATATATAATTATATAAAATGTACACACACACACAGTGGTAGGAGGCAGGTAATGGTAAAGTAAATGTGACAAAAGTTTAACAGTGAATATGGGTAAAGGATATATGGGAGGTCTATACAGTAGTTTACTAGTTTTTTAAGTTTGGCATTTTTCAAAATGGGATTTAAGAAAGCCCTACTCAGTGTCCTGTGGATGTTTGCTTTAGACTGTTTTTAGTCTAAATGTGTGGCATTCCAACACATGTAAGAAGAATTTGACCAAAGCTTATATTGACCAGAATATTTTCTCAAAAATAAAGGAATATCTTGCCAATGATCTCAGTGATAGAATTGTGTACATAAAATATGCACAAGTCAGTTAAAGAGACATGACAGAATTTCCCTTAAGAGAGTCTCGTGAATAAGGATATGCTTGGTAAAAAGTGATTAGAAACCTGAGCAATGTTCTGTCTCATCTCATTATACTTAGGGTACATTTTGACTGTCCAAGACACAGATTTTTCTGATTTAATAATAGTTTTCATTCATAGGTTTGAGTCTAGATTTTAGTCATCTTCTCAAATCATGTTTTTGTTTTAGGATGGTTTTGCAAGGATACGACTTGACCAAGACCGACTGCCAATAATAGGTAAATGATTCTAGGGAAAATTTAGTTTTAGAGAAAACATATTTGTTATTAGAGTATATGAAACATATTTTACCAAATGCAAATAAGTTTTAATTAAAAAAATTTTTTTGAGATAAAAAGAGTCTCACCATGTAGGCCAGGCTAGCCTTGAACTCATAGTCCCCCTGCCTCAGCCTCCTGAATACTGGGATTACAGGCATGCACCGCCATGTGAGTTTTCATTTTTAATGAAATTTGTAAAACCACACTTTTGCAATGTTGTATCTTGCCCAGCTAACTGAAGAGTCTGAAAACATGGTCATGGTTTCAAACTTTGATGGATTTGTCTATATCATTCATTCAACATCTGTTAAAAAGATTAACAGGGTCAGTGGAGTGGCTCAAGCAGAAAGAATGACTGCCTACCAAGCGTGAGAACCTGAGTTCAAACCCCAGTGCTGCCAAAAACAAAACAAAACATGATTACCAATAAAATGAAAAAACTTCCTTAAATTTTAATTTAGAAGGTTTGTAATTGTAGTCATTTTGTCATTTCCTTTTGCTAACCATGTCTCTGGATGTCAGCTCCTCCCATATTGAGGTCCTGTGAATCTTTCCTTCTTACTTCAGTTTAATTTCACTCTATTATCTATGTCCCTCTAAGGTCTCCTATAAAGAAATCCTTTCATTGTGCTTGTTACTTTGGATGTTCTCAATTTCGTACTGGACTCACTAGGGTTTAGCTTTGTGGTTAGTACATAGATATGCAGAGGCTTTTGTTTTCTCAAATGAAAGCAGATGGGATTACTTGCTTCTGTAACACTGCAGCAACTTGATAATATGTGAAATCCTAGTAAGTACGTAATAAGTATCTTCTCAGTACAAATTTCATTCCTGTTAATAGTTGCTGTTCTTATTACCTACTCTGATTTGATAATCTTTGAAAAATTTGTCTTTCAAACAGAGCCTGTTAATATTAATGAAGACAGTGAAGGAATTGACCAAAGCACCCAAATTAGGAATCAAGGAATTATAGCTCTGAGTTACCGTGACTGGGAGGTGAGCGCTGCATGTTTCCTGTGTGGTTCTGATGCTGACTTCCTTGACTGCAGGCCTCTGCCCAAATATTCTTTGCTCCCTCCCAGGAGATTGTGAAGACCTTTGAGATTTCCGAGCCTGTGATTTCATTGGGTCAGAGCCAGCAGAGGCTAAGTGCTTGATACTAGATGAAGGTAACATTTTCTACATGACAGCTTCATTATAGTTTATTTGCAATCCAAGCCATTCCAGTGAAATGTGGGTTTTTGCCTCCCCCTGGTGCCTCATTCCTAGAACTGTAACCCTGAGGTAGTTAGGTGGGAGTCCCTTCTCTGAATTGGTTACTTCCATGTTAAAATCTGCAGCTGAAGAACAGCGTAGGAGAGTTTGTTCTTGGTTTGGATTATTTTGCCCTAACAAATTGATAGATTAGATAAGTGAAACACTGAATCCTTCCTAGTGTTGTTCACTCTCCCATTAGATTTGCTTGTCTAATAAGTACAAAGCAGGGAATGCTGTTAGTAAATGGGCATTTCTGAAACTTGAATTATGCTGTGAAATATGCCTTTGTGTTAATAAAGGAAGATACCTAGGAACGTGCTAGTAATCATCTGGTACTTTGTGCTGCAGACAGCTGTCAGTGGGAATCAGCAGACCAGAATTCTGTCTGCTACCCCTTACTTTAAACCCTTGGGCAAGTCAGTCACTTCATCTCACTTAGCTTCATTTACCTTAGGTATACAATGGGAGCACTTTTAAACCAGACAATCACCAAGTTTTTTTTTTTTTTTTCCTACCTTCAATTTTCTCTGAGTTTTTAAAGCACTTAATGTAAACTCTTATTCGCTTCAATTAATTGAACTTTTATTCCATAATTTACTTCTGTAAAGAGAAGAATAGTCATAGGTAATATGGGTTAACCTGGGCCATACTCACTGAGGAGGGGTTAGTTGTTAGATTTCATTTATCAACTGTTAACCAGCTCTTTTTTTTTCTCTTTTTAGGACTCAAGTGGATAGTGAAATCCAAAAAGAAAAGCAGCATGTATTGTATATATTGTATGATTAAACATTTTTAAGGACAGGTTGTTTTTAGTAAAATGTAGCTTTTGATAGTTAATGAATTTGTCATGGTTGTCTTTAATTAAAGGAATTCCACTGCCATATTCACAAATAATTGTTATTTTTATTTTCTTTTTATGGGAATTTTCTCTTTTCTCAGTCGTATATCATTGAAAGTTTTACTTAGGTTGTTAATGCCCTGTGGATCACTATAGTTCTTTTAGTGACTCTTTTAAGTTGTTAGTCAAGTCAACAAATAGATTGTACCATATGAAATTGTTAAAAATGGTCAAATAGCAGCAGTTTCATGATTGAGCCTATGATTTACACATGAGGAACTACTATTAAGTCCTCTGGGATAAGCCAGGCTGGATACTTTCCCCAGCAACAGCAGCCCTGGATCTGTCCTACCACATGCTGCTCCAGGTGTCTCATTTCTGCTGGACTTCCTAGTCTGCCCTTGGTGTTTTTTGGGATTCCTTCTCCCATCCTCCAACTCTCTATTTTCCTCTGTTTTCCTTTCCTCTCTCTGATTTCAGAAGTAGTGATACCTTTACCTTGAAAGGCTCTGGATTCTTCCTGGGAGACTGAACTCACTCAGTCATCCCCTCTACCCACATCTGGTGTTTTCCCTTCAACTCTGTTCATCTCCCCTCTTAAAACAAAAGTTCCTGTGTCCCTTGTCAGGCTACTGTTCTCCCTCCTTTTAAAATAAGAGTTATTCAGGGTCTCCTTTCTGTCCTCACACTGTGACAGCATAGGGGCAATCTTAACCAAATGTATAAAACTGTTCCCCACATTTTATTTTATTTTATTATTATTTTTTTTTGTCCAGAGATCACTCACTGTGAAAGGTCTGAGCCTTTCCCATCAACCTGTGTTTTCTTTTTTTTTTTTTTTTTCATTTTTCTTTTATTATTCATATGTGCATACAAGGCTTGGTTCATTTCTCCCCCCTGCCCCCACCCCCTCCCTTACCACCCACTCCACCCCCTCCCGCTCCCCCCCCTCAGTACCCAGCAGAAACTATTTTGCCCTTATCTCTAATTTTGTTGTAGAGAGAGTATAAGCAATAATAGGAAGGAACAAGGGTTTTGCTGGTTGAGATAAGGATAGCTATACAGGGCATTGACTCACATTGATTTCCTGTGCGTGGGTGTTACCTTCTAGGTTAATTCTTTTTGATCTAACCTTTTCTCTAGTTCCTGGTCCCCTTTTCCTATTGGCCTCAGTTGCTTTAAGGTATCTGCTTTAGTTTCTCTGCATTAAGGGCAACAAATGCTAGCTAGTTTTTTAGGTGTCTTACCTATCCTCACCCCTCCCTTGTGTGCTCTCGCTTTTATCATGTGCTCATAGTCCAATCCCCTTGTTGTGTTTGCCCTTGATCTAATGTCCACATATGAGGGAGAACATACGATTTTTGGTCTTTTGGGCCAGGCTAACCTCACTCAGAATGATGTTCTCCAATTCCATCCATTTACCAGCGAATGATAACATTTCGTTCTTCTTCATGGCTGCATAAATGTTCCCCACATTTTAAATACACTGTTCCCTCAGACTGAAGCTTAGAATTTCTTTTCTTTCCCCACAACCGTTAACCTGTCCCTAATTCCTACCCAGTCTCTTGACTTTCCATCTTGTCCAAGTAGGTGTCACAGACTCTCATCTATGGTTTCCTATCTGTGTCCTTCAGTTCTATTCCACACACTTCTAAACCACTTATCAGTCTCTCAGTGATTGCCCACTGCAGTAATTACTATAAAAATATGCTAGTCTAGAAAGAAATATGATAAAGAAAATAATTTAAGCTTTATTTTTTTTCTAGTTGGCTTCTCAAAAATGGTGGTACACACAAGAGCTCCCTTTGGAGTGGCTTTTGAATTTTATTCTCTTTTGACTTTTCCATCAGAATACTCACTTCTATACGTTGTTTTGGGTAAGGTTGGAAGATAGGATAAGTTGTGACTCTTTCAAACTCTTTCCTTTCCTCCTTTTCCACTTGAGATTTTAGGCTAGGTGGAACATGCCTAGAGGGTTTCTTAGCATCTCTTTGATCATTTCTCTGCTCTTTTATTTTTCTCCCTCGAATCATTCGGCCTTGATGTCCCTTTATCTGTTCCTTTGCCCATGCCACCTTGCGCTTTTTGGGTTCTGTTTTGTGTATTTTCTGGACATACTCATTCTTTTCATCCTCCATTGTTAGTATTTTGGGAAAAGGTATTTTATTTGGTGTTCTTTGAGGGAGTAATTGATATGTGTGGTCTCTAAGGCTTCTAGCTTGTGCAGCTTTGTGTATGTGTTTCTCTATATGTTTCAGTTCCCGCTCAGAGACTAGATAGTTCCATTTTTTAGCACCTTCTGAATTCTTACTTTGTGACTTCTTGTCTTCCTCTATTCTAATTTCCCGTTCTGGAACCACTTCCTGGTACAATGCTTTTTCCATCAGCATTTCTCTATATCGTTGATAGTAGTATGCCTCTGCTTTAGCAAACTGGAAGTCAAAAGACACGGCCTTAAGTTTGTTAAGTGTTTCATTCTCGTGTTGGAACTCTTGGGTTAATAGTTTTCTCACTCCCGAAGAATGGATGCCACCTAAACTCTTGTCAAAGGGAGTAATCAGAGCTTTTTAAGTTGGATGTCCTTTATTCTAACTTCATGGTACAGATCTCAAGTGGGCTATTAAGCTGTGCCAGCACTCCTATACTGTGCCCCAGTCAGGAGGGCCTCGGACTGTGGTTCAAACTTCCTACACTCCCCTCTCCCAGTGTCCCCTCCTAGTTGGGGACTTTGCCTTCACCTAACTTGACAAAATGGAAGCAGTCACTTAGCACATTCCTCCTCTTCCCACTGCCAGAGCCACCTCCTTGCCTCTGCCCTAGACTCTGCCTGATTGCTTTTACAGTGGAAACGTTGCCTTTTTTCCTATCAAAAGCCAGTTCGTCCACCTGTGCTTGCTGAACATGGAGAATTTCAATTTTGTAATTATCAAATCCCCTTTCCTACATTATTAAAATCTACTGGATCACTCCCATCAACATAAAAGTATGCTCCAGTGTATATCATCTTTAAAAGAAAAGGGACAATCTTCCTTAATACATATCTATCTCTGACTTTTACTCCTCTTTTTGCCCCGCTACCTCACAGTATACCCTGAAGTAGCCACCTATAATCCCGCCCATATCTCAACTTGCTTCAGCTGGATTCCAGGCCCCACTGCTTCTCTGAGATGGTTCTCGTCTAGGTCACATGAGTGGTCTCCAGATAGAAATTTCAGGGATCCTGTTTCTGGCCCTGCCTTATTTGAGCTCTCAATGTATTTAATAGAGACAACCACTCTCTTTGAAACTTTTCCCTTTCTTCTGGGTTCCAGGCTATTGCTAAGGGCATGTGACTAGACCCCTTACACTATCCTGGCCATCTGCTGAATATCCTTATTCCCATCTTATAGCTGCTCCTTCTCCATTTGTCTTTGCTGGTCTATCTTTTAAAATGCAGTGTAGAAAAACATAGAGAAAATAATCATTTAAGATAGAGCATGGTCACATTTAGGCTTTCTTGGATATGGGTGTCTCATTCAACAACATGACCTTCCATGTGTCAGGCACTGCTCTAGGGAATAGGGATAAATGAGACAGACAAGCCTTGCCCTACCTCTCAACTTGAGACTTGGTTTCTGTCTGTGTGACCATTTATTTCTTTCTCCAGTTTCTACCTTCTCAATCCTGTCACTTCAAAATGCCCCTAATATCCATGTTTTACTTCAACACTGCTGTCTCCCCTGCACACACACACCAAGGTGTTAACCCTACTAATTCTCTGAATCCACATCTCTCCCCTTCTGCCTCCATACCCACCAGACCAAGCACTGTGGCCAGAATGATGTTTTTATTAGGCAAATCTATGCATGTCACTTTCATGCATAAAACCCTGGGATAGGACCCTATTGATTTTAGGCAAGAATCCAAAATTCCAATATGGCATCTATAATCTGGCCCGATTACCTCTCTAGACAAGTATTTCAGCTCACAGCTTGCTCTCTGCACCAGACACCCTGACTTCTGTTCTTCCAAACAGTGTTCTCTCTCCCATGCGAGTATTTCACGTGCTTTTCCTGCTTCTGCTGCCAAACACAAATCACAATCCTGACTTGAACTCACCCCTACAGTCTTTAGATCTGGGCTCACAGGTCACTTCCTCAGACCTTCCACATATCTTCAGAGAAAACCCGATCCTTTCATGACACTTGTGATAATCAGTGACAACGAGCTGTTCAATAGTAGTGTCCCTCAAGACAGGCTCTGAGGGCATGAATGGTGTTTATGTTGCTCAACACTGTCCAGCCAGCACCACTGGTGCTCAAAAAACCAAATGCTGAACTAAACACAACAGGCAATACACTTTCCCTTGGAATACCTGGGCCCTTTTTACATGTCTGATAACCTTTTTACAATCCATTAGTGGATACCAAAGTTCATGGAAAATATATTTTCTCACCTTAATCTTCTTTTCTAGTGGAGAAAGAGAACCTGCTGCAATCCGAGGGTCTTGAGTATTTTTGGCCCAGGCCAATCTAAAAGACCAAAAAGAGAAATTATTCTAGGATTTGCAGAAGGTGTCAGGAGACATGATCTGGAATGAATTACATTAGAGAATTGATTTGGCACTCACTTTCCATATGGAGCAGAAGGCATTTCTCTGTGCCAACAGGCTGGAGCAAGGAAAGAATGCATTCTAACAAAAGCATAAAGAGTTCTATCAGCAGGGCACCAGTATCTCATGCCTGTAATCCTAGCTATGCAGGAGGCAGAGATCAGGAGGATCTCAGTTTGAAGCCAGCCCCAGGCAAAAATCCATCACAAAAAAGGACTGGTGGTGTGGCTCAAGCAGTAAGAGCTAAGAGTACCTGCCTAGCAACTGTGAGGCCCTGAGTTCAAACTCCAGTGTCACAAAAACAACAACAAAAAACCATATTATGTTGGGGTTGTAACTTTAACACTGGAGAGGAAAAACTAAGTTGCTATTTTAAATATCACAAACCATTGTTTTTCTATTGTTAGTAGAACAAAAAACTTAGTTTTGATAAATTTTTCCAAGT